TGTTAGAAGTGTATCTTCTTCCCAAATGCAGGTACTTCAGAAGATGAGACAGAAAGAAATTTTAGTTAATTACCCAAATCTCTTACGAGTCAAGCCATAACTTACTAAGGCTCATCCACTTTTCTAATGTATCTTTAACTACACACACTGTAGCTTCTAGCGTCTCCTTTAGCCCACTCAGATTCCCCCATTGCTGCTGCTGTTAACCTGACTGTTAAGCAGCAGATTTTGAAAAAAGTGACTTGTTTTTTCTTTTTTTAAGTCAAGGTCAAATGCATGTCAATTTGCTCTCTTTTTGCATGCCTTTTTGTTGCCCTTCTGAGCTTAAGATACTATTGTAAAACCTCCTTACTGGAAATTGCTTCATTTTAAGTGCATTGTTTATTTTTTCTAAAACCTTAAATGTGCTAATTGTCTTTTATGAAAGAATAAATTACAGAATCAAAACCTAGTCAAAACTAGAAGGGAGGTTGGAATGGATGTGATAATTTCTGCCTGGAACAAACAGTAGGGCTATTGAGTCAAGTTACCTGACATAGAATTTTAGGGAATGGGTGGAGTGCTGAACTGTTGAGGCTTTGTCCTGGTGTCTGCCAGGACTGAAAGAAGCCTTAAGAAACAAGATTGAGCTCACTGAAATGTAACGGCTGTGTTGGTGTCCAGAGAAAGGCAGGGTGAAAATACTACTTCTATACTAGGACTTCCAGTGCAGCTGCAGTGTCAACTTCTAAGTTTGTGGACAGAAAACTCCTGAGCACTTCACAAGTGAAGATTTTGCCATCAAAAATGAAACCAAACTTGATAATGTTCCATCTGCTTTATAACTTCTATAAGCCCATAAATCATGCAAATAAATGGCTTAGAGGGTTTATCACCACTCGGAGCTGAGTAGAGGAAGTGATGACGCTGACACAAACTTAAACGGATTGAATAGGTATGCTAACAACAACAAAATAACATCCTCCTGATAACTGTTGTAAGTAGTGAAACAGGTAAAAATGTACTTTTTATTTTTTTTCCTCCTAGAATATAAGGAAGGTAATAGTATATCCTATTCCAGTTACAGAAAGTGTCAACCAGGAAGGCAGAAGGCGTTGGCCTCTAAGGCTAAAATGGAGGGAGCTTCCCTCAAGTGTGCTTACCTTCTGGGTGAAGATCAATTTTCAGACAGTGCGCAACTCTCAAATTTGAAAGGGTTCAGTTTGAGGAAAAAGTAGGATTTTTTTTTAATAGCGTAGTGCTTCTCAATCTCTTCAAAAGGCAAGTTACCCACGCTTTTTTTTACCTCTTTTAAGAGGCAGTTTTATGTAACCGAGAGATAATGGAAGGTGTGAGGTTTAGAGTCGGAAGCTCTGTGGATCTCGACAGGCTTAGTCAGCGTTACTGCTTCCTGATGGCTAAAGCGAGAATGCCTGTTCTGAGTTAAGGAGATCTAACTTTCTTAAAGATAAAGACCTCTTGTTTTTTATATATGCTTGTAGGCTGCAGTTTTGGAAGAAAAGATACTACTATTTTGTATGAAGAAAGAGTAAAACAGCACTTGGGAGAGGGACAGATAGTCTCGTAGGTCTTGAAGAGTAGTTTGCCTTCTCTTCTTGCTGGTTGGCTTTTATTTCACCTTATTCTTTCCTTTTGTTAGCCAATCTAAATAACATGTAGGACAAATATTAACATCTAATGCTTACTGATAGTTACCAGTTCTCTCCCACTTCCCCCATTCCCTCCCATCTTTCAACTTAAATTCACATTTCATTTAATTTGACTATTTGTGCTTTTAACCGGAGGCTGTTAATAGATGAATATTAGAAAGATAAAATACTGCGGTGATTTTTTTTTGGATTATCCCTGAATTTCTGTGTGTGTACATGTGCTCTAAGCTGTTACTGGTGGGTCTCTTCCCGATAGGTATTTTGGGGATGAGGTGGACTCACCAGCATGTGCGCTGCCCCAGGTAAATATAATGAAAGGCAAAGGCATGCCTGAGTTTTAGGCTTTTGATAGCTTCTATTGGTTTTGAGAAAGAGAAATGATTGAAGCAGTTGGGATGTGATCAGTTATGCTCTTTCCTCTGTGGATGAGGGGACTGAGGTCACATTTCACTTCCCTGTCAGAAATGGGCCACCTTGTTGTTATAACAAACTTAATGTATATAAAGGTACATACAAATATACTGCTGCCAAGGCAATCTCTCATCTTTATGAATTTGTTGGAGACATGCTTAAGCAGAATTCAGTTTTCTGTTGTATTTTATAGCTGTTGTAAAATGCACCTTATATGTTGCCTTTTTTTAATGTGCACAGCTCTGATTAAAATATAAAACCAGAAAGTTTAATCACTGTCTGAAGACTTGAATGCACAGTGCACTTTTACATAGCCACTATACCAAGCTGTTCACTTGTTTTTATTTTTCTACTGGAAGATTTGTGATCTTCCCATGTTAGCATTACTGTATAGCCTTCTTACAGGAACTTAAGAGTGATAGAATATTTTAGGTTTTAAGAGGCAATATTCCAGAGCACTTTCCTCACTCTTTTTGTAAATTGCAAAAACATTTCCAGTCTTTGGCTCTGACAGCCCAGTTAAAAATGTTTGGCTGGTGAAACAACAAAAAACTTGAGCACTTGCACTGTAACATCCCATTTCTTGAAATTGAGTTTGACGAAGAATTATGAGTCTCCATTTCACAAGTGAGGAAGCTGGATTACAAAGATACAAAGAAAGAAGCTGAACACATGGATTAGTTGTATGGAGTCCCGTAGATTAGTGGGCATTGTGAACAGTCAGCATAGCTGAGCAGATCCCTTGCTTTAGGCAATTATGCTGAGAAAGAAAAGGGGGGAAAAAGTGGCGGCTAATGGTGACAGTTACCTTTTTTTCTTCTTGGTATTGAAATAGGACTGGAAAAACTCTCTCTCTCTTTCTTTTTGCTGTATATTCCCCTTCTTTTTCACTTTTCTGTTTCTCCCAGACCTACCCACCAGCATGCGCACAAATCTTTTGTTCATGAAATATTAATAATTATAGTGTGGAAGCTTGGGAAAATACTCTTCCAGAAATTTGGGAAGGCTGTTTGAACAAGTACTATAAACCTCTAACTTCCCAACAAACTACAGTGACTGAAACAGTTTTTATCAGAGGGGGGCAGAGCTGGATGGAAGGGTAGATTGGATTAAAGATGCTGAATTCCAGGGTAAGAAAAATAGACCAAAAATGTATAGAAAGAGGTACAAATTGCAGCATAATAAATGTCAAGTGGTTGTGAAGGCAAGAAGAAGAAAGATGAGGTGACCATTGACAAGAGTGTCGTTAAAGATGCGCCGTGAAATTCTGTACAAGGGAAGCTGCCAAGGTGAATTAAACATTTGAAGGACAAGATAGGAAATAGAAAAACTAAGGATATTTGCAATCTGGCCTTGCACTGTCTTGCAAGAATGGTTTAATTCACATGAATGGTTTAATTCTTACAATTTAAACTTTAAAATAGTGAAGTGTTTGGTGTTTTTTTTAACTTGTTTACCATAACTTTGAAAAAAAAGACTTGTTGTGTGTTTTGTTGTTGTTGTTGTTTTCTTTCTTTCCAGTGCTGGTTTTTGGAGGAACAAGCTCTTAAACAGTGTTGTTATTTCGGTAAAAAGTGGTTGCTTCAGATCATAATCTTTGTCAGGGAAATTGCTCCGTTGCTTCAGAGTTGATTTTGAACAGCTGCTCTGATGACTTGAGGCTAGTCTGCTTTATGTGTTTACTTTATTGATGTTGGTGTGTGCACTTGTCCTTATATCCAATTTGCCTTCTAATGAAAGTACCTATATTCAGTTAACAACTGCAAAGCGCAAATAACTTTATTTTTAATTAGGACTAAAATGATACTGTTTTACACACAGTACTAATGATGTGCAATAAAACATCTTAGCGACCCTGAGCTGCTCCTCAGCTCCTCCATGAGGAAATCTGACTTGTCGGTTTGACGTTTGGGTGTTTCAGCTAGGCAAAGCGCTCCCTTCTGCTGGCTTAGGGAAGATTTGATTTTTACTTCTTCCTCTCATCAGGAGAGAGTAGGGTTTGCCTCTGTGTGGCTAGAGGAGAGCAGGGCAGCCTGAGAACAAGGCAAATGATTTGGTGAACTGACCTATGCAGAGATTGAGAAGTGACTCAGCTGAGGAGCAATAAGCAGGAGAAAATGCTGAGTGTCTTTTGGGATCTTTAGCAGTTCGAGATACAAGTCAGTGACTAGAGACTGATAGTGGGCGCATTTGAGCTTGTGCTAGCAAAGAAAGTGGTTGTCTCTAGATCAGGATGGGAAGCCTTGCTGGAAGATATTCTTTGGTCATATGCAAGCAAATTAGAGGGTTGAGGTGTGTTTAACTGAAATGCAGTGGTGGCCTGGGATTATTTGAGAGGTTAGAGCACCAGATATAATAGTCTGTTTGGGAGTATAAACCAATAGAAAACCTGTCTTGATGTTTCTGCTGTCTTCTTTTGGTCAAAACAAAAGGAAAATTAGGAGTAAAGTTAAACGGTGGTATTTGTGCCCCTCAATTTCTTATCTTTGGTACAATGTTTTGCCAAAAGGCTTGCAATAAAACCATTTATCAGTCAGTGTTTTACTCTGTGTCGTTATATGTATGTCGCATCGATTACTGCACTTGCTAAAAGATCTTGGAATTCCTATCACAGGGCGCCATGCTCGCACGGTGGCAATACTGGCACTTAGATAAAGATGTACCTCAGTACACTTCAGGGATTCTTATTTATGACCAGTGCAAAGTTTGTAGACAAATGTTTTAGTTTTTGTTACGTTTTTCTTACCTGTGTTTCTGTTTTAACTTGTAGATTTTGGATCTTTGTTTGACTTGGAAAATGATCTTCCTGATGAGCTGATCCCCAATGGCGAGTTGGGCATTTTAAACAACAGTGGGAGCCTTGTTCCAGATGCAGCTTCCAAACACAAACAACTTTCTGAACTTCTGAGGGGAGGCACCGGCTCTTCCTTAAACCCAGGAATTGGAAATGTGAACTCAAATAGCCCTGTCCAGCAGGGAGTTGGTAACCAAGTTCAAGGGCAGCCGAACAGTGCTAATATCGGCAATCTGGGTGCTATGGGTAAGAGCCCTTTAAACCAGGGAGACTCTTCTGCTTCAGGCCTGGCGAAGCAAGCAGCCAGCACCTCTGGACCTACCACACCTGCATCGCAAACACTGAACTCTCAAGCACAAAAACAAGTGGGGATGGTGACGAGCAGCCCTGCAACATCACAGACTGGACCTGGGATATGTATGAATACTAATTTCGGTCAGACACACCAGAGCCTTCTCAACAGTAATTCTGGTCACAGTTTAATGAATCAACCTCAGCAAGGACAAGGGCAGGTAATGAATGGATCTCTTGGGGCAGCTGGAAGAGGAAGGGGAGCACGAATGCAATATTCTGCCCCTGCCATGCAGGGGAATGCAGGCAGTGTGCTGGCAGAGACTTTAACCCAAGTATCTCCACAGATGGCTGGTCACACCGGACTGAACACAGCACAGACAGGAGCAATGACAAAAGTATGTACATATAATTTAATCTATTCTTGTCCACTTAGATGTTTAGCAAACTGTGTAGACACTTTTGGGGAATAAAATGAAAACGTATGCTTTCCTGATTCTGTAGTTACCAGTTTTAGTCACCAGGGATACCATAAAAGCAAGATAATAGAAGCAGTATTTCTCACATAATCAGAAATGAAAGCACTCTCCTTAAAAAAAATCATCCTTTATAAAAGTTGGATAGTATCTTAGTAGGGTCAATTGGAAGAGTAGCCTAATCCTTCACAAAAAAAAAAGGAGCAAGTGATTACTGCTGTGTGGGATCTCATTTTAGGAGTCTGGCAACTGCATCTTCTAAAGCAATACGAAATCTGTTAGAGGAAAGTGTCTAGATTGAATAGGGAGGTGTAGCAATCCCTTTTTTTTCTTCTGTTATGGATCACTGTAAACAAGCAATCAGTGCATGTTTTTGAGATACAGAGGATCTGATCTGAAAATATTAAATTTAATTTTGATTGCCCGACTAATTCAAACTCTGGGAAAGGGGAAGGGCAGTATCTGTGCAAGAGTCCACCTGGGTGGTCCTTGCAGATCAGGAGAGAGAATGTATTTATCTGGAAGCAGGTATTTCTGTGTTGGGGCACCAGTCTGCTTCTAGCCTCATACAGCCATGGTTGTTCAGGTCTTGACATTCCTGGTATGAGGTTAGGAAAATGTTCTGGGTGCTGTTCCTCTTGACTTTTGGCTGGACAGCCCTATGCTCATGTCTTGTGCTGCTGTGGTCCTGTTCCCTTTGAATATGGCAAAAACACACTTTTCTGGTATGTAGGAAGAGATAGTTTTGTCTATCTAGAAAAATATAGTCTCTGATCGTTTATCTGTCTTTACATCTCCAGCTATTATTGTGTTAATGTACTGATATGTAAGTGTTAATTCATTGTTAGCAATCCCTGAGAAAGCTGCACCGCCAGCCATTAAAACAAGGAAGTGTAAGTCATGTTCTCTTAAGAAAAGTGAACATTACTGTGGAGTCCGTTTTAATTTTTGAAACTAAAAACTATAAAAAGCATTCTCTTAGAGTCTGAAAGGATTTAGGAAGAGATGTTTTATGATCTGGATAAAGGTAATAGAACATGGAAGTGAGTGTAGCTATTTGTAGCTTCCGAATCCAAGCAAATTTGCTCTGTGGAGGGATTTGTCTTTTCACAGAAAGAAATAAGCCTCCCTTTCATCCATTTTTCTTTGAAATATGTGTGAAGAAAGACAAATTGTAGTTATCTGGCTTATTTCCGTTAATTTATATATTTCTGAGCTCTTCAGAATAGATTGTCTCTAGCTACTACACAGTAATATGGTGAAACTACAGGTTTGTCTATGTCTACTAGCTCAAATAAAATAGGATTACCTCAAAGCAAAGGGACTTGCCTGAGGCCTTCATCTGAAGGAGTATGTGCAATTCTGGACAGGGATGGTTCTGTGATATCTAGGCACTTCTTTGAAAGAAACTGATTCCCTAGTGAGGAAAAAGCAAGCACACAAATTCCATTTTCAGTGACTTTGGTCTTAGCCTGAAGCCAGCTGCAAATGGGATTCTAAAATGCCCCAGCCAGGGAGGACAGCCTGGGCTTGCTCATTTAGCACATGTTCAAGAAGCAAAGAAAATGTTAATTTGAAAAAGGAATAGGTTGGACAAGATTAGAGGGAGTTCTCCTGGTGTATTAATCATCAGAGTTTGTCCTCATGTGCAATACTCTGCTCAGCACTGGTGATGCCTTTCTGAAAGGAATAAAAATAAGGCATTTTGAAGCACACTTCAGAAGTTCTTAGAAGCAAAGTTGTTTGTGGCTGCAAAGACTAGAACTCTTTAATGACAGAGCATAGGTGATAAAATAATGCTTGTGTGAAGATGTTAGCACTTAAGGGAAAATAACTTTAAAACTTGGCAATCTTGAACCAAATACAGAATTGGTATTTTCCAGGACTCTGTCCCATGCTAAGGGAGATGAAGCTTAAAAGCATTTAAAAAAAAAAAGTGTTTACATTTTATTTCACATCTTCTGGTGAAAGCGCAAGTGAACAAAATGTTTTGTGTTCCTGTTTTGGAAAAAGTTACTTCCCCTCCGGATTTTGCTTTAACTAGTAGAAGTGTTCTGTTCCATTTTTGCTGCTTTCTTTAATGGGTATTTG